TATATATATATATATATATGTGTGTGTATGTTTGTGTATGTAAACTATATCTGTAAAAGGACAATATGAATAAAGACAAAAGGGAATTTTCCCTTATATATGTATATATATATATGTGTGTGTGTGTGTGTGTGATAAAAATATAGTTTTAAGTTATGTTATATTTATGGGTAAAAGTGCTGAATATCAGGGATAGAGCGTATGTAAATATAAAAGTGGACACTGATGTCAACACTGACAGCGACAGTCAGTGTCGCCGCTGTGTATTGACCTTAATGTCCACTTTCAGGTAGATAGACAAATAGATTTTTACACGCTTCACAATGAATTCATCATAAAAGAAATGGGGGGGTACAAATACATCTCGCCATTAAAAATGTCCTGACCTTTCTCCTAATTGCAATATTAAATGAACTCCAATAAACTCCACCAATTTTTTAAAGACAATGAAAATAGAGAAGAAATATTGAATTTAATCTGTAACAGAATTGTGCTTGCAAGTTATTTCCCAAGAACTGTAAGAATCCATTATGAATTTCATTTCTTTTTGTATTTCCCAAGAACTGTAAGAATCCATTATGAATTTCATTTCTTTTAATCATTTCAATATAAGCAAAGCTTTGAATGCCACGGAAATGCAAGGGGACACTGGGAGGGGAAAAGAACGAGAAGACTTTGGGACAAGTAACTGGAAAGCCAGTACTAAGTGGGGGGAAGGATATTGAACTGGGCGATAGGGTGATTTTTTATTTTTAAATAATATTTTCACGGATCTAAGAATTGACTACCGCTTGCCGGCCCCACGGTAATGGAGGTAGATAACATAAATAAAACAGGTGACTAAATGAAATAAGCCTAATTGACGAAAATAATGATTCAGTGTTATCACAAAATTTTGACTAGTACACCCCAGACCTCATAGAACAATAGGATTACCATCACACCTCCATTAACTGTTGTAATTAGGTTGAATATAATTGCTAATTGAAGGCGGATTTAGTACAATTATAGGCAAGGTTATCTTATTTAAATTATTAGTTATTATTCTGAGGTTTTATTTGAATTCATTCTTCGCCACTGTAATTATCAGCACTGGGCATGTGTCTATCAATTCTTTCTAGTGAACTGTTTTATTTAAGTTGTTGTCTTTCTTCAGAACCATGTACTTGGTAAACGCTAGTGAAGCCATATATATATATATATATATATATATATATACACTTTAAAATTCAGGAAGTCAGTTGAATCCGTGACCTTGGTTTCAAATTTGCTGTTTTTAGGTGGTCATCTGATAAAAATCGCATGGGACAGCGTAAGGTTGAAACCAAGGTAGCGATTCAACTGACCTCCTGATTTTTAAATTTAAAAGCTCTACATGTTATTTTTTACTTTCGTTTTTTCACACATGTTTGAGCACTTTTTTAATACTACTGTTTCCTGGTTTGATCCAACTCTGACCATCAGCCTTTTATGTATTATACACACACACACACACACACACATATATATATATATATATATATATATATATATATATATATATATATATATATATATATATGTATGTATGTATGTATATGAGCTAAAAGATCAGAACCAGATCAAACGTCGATTGGAATCCGATAGAATGATAAAGGACAAATAGCAAATGGAAATGTATATCAATCTAAAATGTTTCACTTTTATTAAATCTTCATGAGAGATTGAGAGAAAACAGACAAAAAGACATAAACACTGGTATTTTCAAATATTTTTGGGTCAGTTCTCATTGGTCAGACACGTGTCACGTGCATTAAAACAATAGATAATTCTGTGTATGTAAGTTTGTGAAAATTCTTGTATGTCTCAGTGGGCATCGGATGGTAATGTGTATGTGTGTCTGTCTAGTGGGAGTTCTGATGTCTACCTTTGTGAGGGGACTCAGCGCAGTGGGGTATCCCATGATTCTAATTTATGGATGACTTCTTTAAGAATGTATTTGTATTAGATAGACATGTTAGATTCTTTAAGAATGACGATGTAATGTAATGTTTCAAGCATGTGTTTACAGTATATATATATATATATATATATATATATATATATAATGGTAAATCAATAAGTGTGTAACTTTACTCGGTTATTAGTCTAATTCTGATCCAAAATGTTAATTGTATAGGACCCTCTTGAATATGTGGTATTGTGGTGTGTTTTCTTTTTTTTCTGTGATTAATGAAGATGCGTTGGGTTAAGATGATAAAATCGATTATTTTGTAAATATGGTTGAAGAGAAAAATAAAAATAAAATGTATTGCCCAGTGCAGGAAGTGAGCTCACGACCTTCAGTCAACCTCAGCTTTTAATGGAGATGTCACCCCTGTTGACTGGAATAAGATCACCAAGTAGAAATTTATAAAAGCTTAGGCATTTTCTCTCTAAACAGTTTTTTTTTTTTTTTTTTTCCCCTTTTTATCTTGACTGGGTCAGCTTTTGATTGTCCCACGCTACAATTTATTTTGTCCTTCCCTCGTCTTTAATGGGTAAGTTTCTTGATTTTGCCTATTGGCAGAAGACAACAGTCACTCGTTTTTTTCTGTGGGTTTAACTGTTTTTACTAACTTATTTTATTTCTAGGTTGAATGTTTTGGTGTATTTTATTTTCATTATTGGGTTCATCCCTTCCTTCACATTTCATGCCATATATTTTATTTTTATAAGAAAAAAAATGGCATTTGTATATATTGTGAAACTTTTATGTCATGGATGTTTTAGTAGGACCCTCTTGAATATGTTGTATTGTGGTGTATGTCAGATGAATGGTGATGAATGAATTCTTGTGGTGATTGAGTAAATTGTAATGAATGAATGGGTCGCGAATCAGATTCGCTAGGTTTAGGCTTGTCAGTGACGACCAGCTTCATCCCACTTTCTATTCGGCCTCGTGCCAAAGATCTACAAATCAACAATTCGCCCTTGCATGGAGTATTGCTGCCATATATGGTCTGGAGCCCCTTCTGTTTGCCTCGGTTCTTGATGAGATCCATAGGCGGATATGGAATATAATTGGCCCTGATCTGTCATCTCGTCTACAGTTGCTCTCTCAGACGCGTCGTCACCTCTCTTTGTCTTTTTTACATTTACGATTTCATGGTAATTACTCCGAGGAGCTGCATTCGCTGGTTCCCAGACTTCATGAATTCAAGCGCCCTACAAGGCTGACATCCCGCTCTCACCCTTTCACTGTTGAAACTATTAAATGTAGCCGTCGCTTCTATTCCAATAGCTTCATATCTCGCACCTCTCGCCTGTGGAACTTCCTTCCCTATTCCAGTTTCCCTGAGAGCTATAATCTCCAACTATTCAAATGTAATGTCAATCGACATCTCCAGTTGCCTTGATCTATCCACTACCCTTCTCCTCATCCTTTCCTCTATCACTCCTATCTGATCTTGCTCCAAATCTTCTGTAACCACTTGCGTCCTAATGGCTTCCCGCCTTGCTTGGGGTGAGACGCTTAAAAAAAAGGTACAGCTTTTATTTTTGGGGGTGGAGGACGGTTGCCTAAAGAACTTTTTTCGAAACAAAAGTCCTAATTGTTCTTTGGTTATCGAATACAGCATTTAACTGAAAGGTAGCGTAATGTCATAGAATGACACAGGTAATAATTTGGTGGCTGAATATTGAAGGTATGAATTCATATCGTTGATGTGATGGTAAAAGTGCTAAAGTAGATTTTTTTTTTTTTTTTTTTTTTTCGTGTGATGAGAAAAAATATGGACGGGGACCTTCCTCGATATACGTCATTTTTGCATAATAGATTGTCATTCTTTTTAAAAATAGAAAATAGGCAAAAAATGGCGTATGTCTGTTTACGTTCTTTTAGAACCACACGGACGATATGAAGATGGTGTAAAGAAAAATTATCGAAATTTTGAATCAACCTAAGATAATGGAATGACCGGTCGCCCCCATGAATGCTTACACTATAGGTAGTAAGTACCTATAAAGTCTACTGTCTACGAGAGACTGGGAGAGCGAGACGACGCAAGCACGTCCGACCTTCTAGTTAGTGGCACTCACTACTAGATTGATCTGTATGTATAACGGTACCGTATTTCATATTGTACTTGTTGTGTACAATAAACCTTTCTTCTAGTATTCACTTGGTGTTATGTGTTTATTCCCTTAACACGGAATATAGCATAAGAATAGATATGGTTGGTGATATCGAGAATAGATGAAGCGAACCGAGTTCAAACTCTGGCTGGGACAGTTCGTTTTTACTTCACAATTGAGTGAGGCATGACTCTACTTCTTCTCGTCCTCAACGATTGGGAAATTGAGAAAAAAATTAATAGCATCTATAGGGCGCAATTATCACTCACATTAGCACAGTTTCAAACATGACACTTTTTGATAAATCAAATAGCAGATAACTCTTTAAGAACTCGGAGATTGACTCTTTATTTATATTATGAATAGGACCTCCACTTCTAAAGTGATAAAAATAAATGGTTACTAAATACGCGATATTCTAGATAGCTCAGTTTAAAATAAGAGTTATTTAAGTTAGGAAAAATCAGTTATTCCAGTTTATGAGAGTTAGGATCCAACCGATTACAAGGCAACCGGAAGTTGACTGGTCGATATTTACCAACATACTAAAGCAGAAGTTAGAAAAATTCTTCTATGTGCCGTGTCCCTTCAGGACGTTGGGGTTCATAGCTCCCCACAATTTCCTGTTAATTGGAGCTCTTAATATATAAAGAAATCAGTGGTTAATTTAATTTTTTATTTATATTATGAATAGGACCTCCACTTCTAAATTTATAAAAATTCACTTTTTTTTTATTTTAATAAATGTGGGTAAAGGAAGGTTTTAATAAACAGTAATCTGCAAAAATATTCTCCACCTTTTTTTTTAAAAAAAAAAAATTCCGTTTTTATGAGAGCACCACTTAATTTAATTAGTTCCCATTATCTTTCCTTATGGTTCAGATGAGCTTTCCTCTTTGTTAGGCTTACGGCCGTATCACGTTGAAACACCGGTTCTCGTACGATCAGCGAATTTAAACAACGTCGAGCCTGGTTAGTACCTACATGGGTGACCGATTGGACATACCAGGTGCTGGATGTGCGGATGGCGTAATAGATAAGGACTCGAAATTGAGAATCGGAAAGCAGAGTTCAAATTCCAGTCATGTCTTTCATATTCACTTACGCGCAAACATGCTTTGGAATGGTATGACTCCACCGCATCTCCCCCAGCTATGGATTAATTAATAGAACTTGTATCATTAAAAAAAATATTATCTCGAAGAATTCTTACAATCCTAAAATATTTCTGGTTATTGAAATAAACTGCAAAACATTGATAAGCCGTAAAAAATCAAATCGATTAAGCCTCTTTGGTACTTTAACTTCATGAATGTAAGAGCCGTATTAAATTGGCAGTTAAGTCTTATCACTTTACTGTTGAAATCGCACTTCTAGCATGTGGACTTTCTTCCGGTTTCTTTTTATTTTCCTCTTTCCTCAATAACGTTTCTTGAAGAATTTTTTTTATTCTTAGTGGCTTTATCGCCTTGCTTCGGAATGACATGATTAAAAATGACGAGTCATGAAGAGCGATGAGCCCCGTCAAGCTATCTTCCCTAAAAACACCACTTCTGCAACAGGTGCACGACCTGCAATACTTCTGTGATCATAATGGTTTTACAGTAGTCGCGATGAGACGTTCTTTTACCAGTAACGTTCCTTACGACTATCAATCCTGTTTTTCTTTCGCAATTTCATTACAAATATTATCGAATAGATAGCAATTTAAAACATGCTAGGATTTTTTTTATTTAATTAAAATTACACAGAACAAATGACATCGGTATTATGCAGAAAAACTCAGTCATCTCTGAGTGTGAAGTGCGAAAAATCTGTTTATTTGCTAATTTAATAAAGTATAAACAGGCAAATGCATTTTTTATTTGCATAAACACTTAATCATCTGAGCTCAATCTCCTGGTAAAACTTAATACCCCTAATCCTGCATAGAATCCTTATTAGGTAAAGACAAATTAGAATGCGAAGAAACTGATTTTCTCAAGCACCGAATCAAATTACGACGATTATATGATATATCGCAATTTTATGATATATCACTATTTTATGATATATCACAGTTAATTATACATCACAATTTTATGATATATCACAATTTTATGATGTATCACAGTTTTACTTGTACATCGTACTCGTCAAAATAAGGTAACAACATAAGATACTCAGATTATATCATGTTAATGGTAGACACAAAAGTAAAACTGCAGGAACTCCTATACAACTTAGTAAAGGAAAGCAAGAAGAAAGGACTATCTATCAATTATAAGAAGACAGGCTGTAGGGTTGTCATTAAGAGGAACAGCCCAAAATGTGAAGATCAGACCGGACACATCGAAATCAAGCAAGTACAGAAATTTAACTGTCTAGGAAGTGTTAAAAAAGGCGACAGAAAAAATAACCTAAGTCTCTGAAGGCGCAGTGGGATAGCGAAAGATACCTTCAAAAAGCTAAACAAGGTATGAAGAAACAAGAAAATGTGGGTATAAAGAAAGAAAAGAGTGTTGACCGGCTACGTAATATCATTCCACCTATATGGGTTTTATTAACAATAGCATTTACCTAAAGAGTATTCTGTAATAGCGATGTCAAGCAAAAAACTATTATCAAGAAAAATTATTACCAGCAATACATTCTTGGGAAAAAAAATTAACTGCAATACATTCTTAGAGAAAAAAATATTACCAGCAGTACACTTTTGGACAAAAATATTGCCAGTAATACTTTTTTTGGAAAAATATTACCATACCAAACCAGGCTTCTAGAAATTATGCGTTATATATTTTTTAATACTTTACATTTTATTTACTTACTATATCTTACTTGACATTTAAAGAAAAGGGATAATGATTTGCACCCAGACAAAATAAAATCGCTTTTTATTTTATTTTATTTTATTTGGTTTGGTTTACGGCATATCAATCTTTATGGGTTATTTAATACCGACAAGATTTTTATTGCTGGTAATATTTTTCCAAAAATGTATTGCTGGTAATATTTTTTTCTTCAAAAATTTATTTCTGGTAATATATTTTCCTTTAATAATGTATTTCTGGTAACAATGTATTGCCTGTAATAATTTTTCCACGAAAAAATTATTTCTGGTATCAAAACATATTTTTACACTTTCATAGTGTTTTAACCCCAATTTAGGGACTAACTATTTGCCCATAGCTGGGGCCCGAGCAGGTGCTACCACCCCGATTCAGGGTGGGTCTGGGAGCATCAGAAATGAAGAGTTGATTCCACGCCCCATCAATGCCTCTTGATCGGGGCAAAGGTGCATTCGGCGTATTCTGATGTCCCAGCTAATAGGTCCGTATTTTATTTGGAGTTTTTTTATTTACTTTATATATATTTTTACATATTAAGGCCAATTTAATTTCCGTTTTTTTTTTTTACGTTATGACAAGAATATTTTTAAAACTGAATAGAATGTATAAATTCTTCATAAATAGATTGTATAAATAAATGAATCGAAATAAGAATATTTTTTTAAAAAAATGAAGCCAAATACTTCACTTATCATTTGGTAGAAGCGAATGACACGTTGCTTAAATTATCTGCCCTTGGATGATATTTGTTCATTTTTTTCTCTTGCGTCTTTGACTAGATGATCTTCCGTTGCCAATCACTCTCAATTTGTAAGTGCAGGCAGTGAACCTTCGCCGATATAAATCCCGGTTGATTAAATCACTTGACTCATCCAAACCGTATAACGCCAGTCCACTCACCTGCTTGTTAAAGACATCCCATCCCATAGGGAAGTTACTGTCACGTATAAGTCAAAGCATATTTATTTTGGAGTGACAAGCGGTTAGGAATGTTTCAGCGTTAATTGAGAACCCTCAATGAAAGAATCGGTGTCCACAGAACCGAAGCAGATGAATGGAAATGCAATACAAACAGAGGTCTTAATGTTGCCTAAAAATTCTGAGATGAGGCGATGACATGATTCTATGAATGATTCGGATTAGTTGAGTCATTAAAAAATTTCCGCTTTTGTTTAGAAAACTTTATTCTTTAAAACAAAGTAATGTACGATAACATGTTATTTAATCACATATTCACCATTTTATTCTTTAAAAAACGTAATGTACGATAACATGTTATTTAATCACATATTCACCATTTTATTCTTTAGAAAAGTAATGTACGATAACATGTTAATCACATATTCACCATTTTATTCTTTAAAAAAAGTAATGTACGATAGTATGTTATTTAATCACATCTCAGAAATATAGACAGATATAGAATTATTCCATGGGGACAAATTGATTTTTAAAAAAATAATAAAAGGGATAGAAAATAGCGATAAAGAATTAATGATAAATCTTTCCCAAGAAGACATGACAATTCATGAAATAATAAAGAAAATGAATCCGTGGAGAGCCATGGATATGGCATTTTAAATTAAAAATACACCCAACTATGCAGAAGAAGAAAGTCGTAAAATTGTGACGAAAGAAACAAAGTCGATACTTGGCTTGCCAAATTTGTCAAATTTAAATGTTAGTCATCCTGTTCAAAATTAAATTCAGATGAGTCATCAGTTGTATATAAGAGCTACAAACAGCAGGAAATTGTGGAGAGCCATGATCTTCAACATTCTAAAGGGACACGCCACATAAAAGAAGATATACATATGTAAACTGAGACAAAATAATATTACTGCATAGAAAAAGTTTAGATACTAAAAAAGTCATTTGAATCGAGGATGACTGATAAAGTTTAACAAACGTCTCAGAAAAAAGTCAAAAGGACGGTTTTACCTGACATCGCTATTACAGAGTACTCCTTAGATAAATGTTATTGTTAATAAAATCCAAATATATAGGTACCTGCCAAAAAAAAGCGTGACCTGTCCTTAAAATGTCTTTCAAAAAATGCAAAATAGTTCTTAAAGCTTTATTTTAGGTTTTAATTCCAAGCTTATAGATTAAATATAATATTCCCGCTAAGCAAAATACTTCGGAGTATTTCAAACCGAATTTAAATTGATTGGAATCTTTTTTCCTCCCTATTAATAAAATCTATAAATTTGTACATAATGACTCCTATGTCAATACAAATAATTCTCTTTATTAAAAATATTTAAAAAGTAAAATATATTAGTTGGTTGAAAATTTACCTAATCCGAATTGAAACAAATATTGTTTTTAGCTTAAAATACCACAGAAAAGCATTTTCTTAATATGGAAGGGGTGGTTTTTTTTTCTGACCCGTTGAGTAATTTATTTACAGCATGGTGTTTGGCAAATATAAGGAAGGGGTGTAGAACAGAATTAAATTACTAGAATATAACATGAACGTCATTTTTTTTTTACCATAATTTTAATACATAGCAATCTTAAAAATTTAAGAGAATATTTTAAGCAATCTAATATAGGGAGCCCAGTAAAAAAGGCGGTCAATTCAGAAAGACGCAAGACAACTGCTGAAAACTGGAGACAACTGATGTAACTAAAAAATTCAGGAAGAATTTCTGCACATTTCGTCAATCCCCACGTTGGATGTTCTTCGTTGTAAAGTACGATAACTTGATGCTCAAAATCAGTGAGTCGTTTAGCCATACGAGAAGGGCAGAACGAAAGACGAAAGTTGTCTGCAATTAACCTTTAAGTGACGAGTCAAAAGATCGAGCAGCAATTAATCAATCATAAAAGAACCAATCAGAGTTAAGTAATTACGCGAGAGTCGAATGATTATTCAAGGTCATGAATATTCAAGAAATTTATTCATGTTTTTTAAAGGTCAACTATTCCTGAAATATAAAAAAGTGCTAATAAATTTGCCGCTTTTTTTTACTGGCAACTCTGTATTTTATTAAATTTAGGTACATTGACATTATAGCCTAACTTACAAAGACGACTATTGAGAAAATGTTATCAAATTATCAATAGATTTCAAAATTTATTGTATGTAGCAATTTTATTTTCTGATAATGTCGTGAATGGATTTACAATCATCGACACGGTTATACACATACAATAAAAATAAAAATTCGTTTTTAAATA